ATTAATAGTCTGTTAGTTAATTCTTGATCATACAGAAACGTATGTAGTCATAAAATGTCTTTTGACATTTATGTATATCAGGGTGGCCCAAAGTATATAAGCATATAACATATAATATCTATAGATAACAGGACCAGAATACCGAAAATGAACAATTTGATTTTGAACCACTTTGGAAATCTTAAATGACTTCTTAAAATTTCTTAATTGGCTCGATTTTTGGCGAGAATTATTAAATAATAAAAAAAGTAATCATTGGACAAAAGCGTTTGTTAAGTCTCTCGGGAACTAGTAGAGCATTTTGGAATAATCATATTGTTAAGTTAAGAATTATAGTTAATAGACTTTCTTTCATTGTATCTGTAATCTGAAGATACTGTTTTGTCTTTACATTTGTTATTTTTCCCCATTAAAATTCTTTGAGCGTTTATTAATTAGTTGGGAGGGGGGGAGTTATGAGATGTTGGCGCCTATTAAAAATATTACCGAAAACATTGGAAATCATTTATTACATTCGAAACATTATTATAATGGTGCGTTCCACTAGAAAACGTTTTGTTAACGAGTATTAGCAAATATTATTATGTTAATTTTGTGACTTACTACCGTTAACAGGTTTCTATTACGTTAGAATTAGGGACGTGGCTTTGGCGTTCGTTCATTAGGAGCTAATAAATGCCAAATTTACAGTCAATAAATTATTTTAACGTTTAATTAATAACTGTACTTTTTCTTCATCGAACTTGAACCCAGAATGATCTTTACAAGCAATTAAATCAAAGAGTACATAATAAAAAAAGATCAATCGTTCTTTTTTTGATGAAAGTATAATCTGAGGCTAATTAATTCACGGCAATTGAACAATTATAACGAAACAATAAAGTAATTCGCATTTAAAAGATGTTTGTTATTCAATGGCTATTAAGCGTTAGCTATTCTTTTTTCTTTGTTAACAACTGATAATTAAAGCAAATTAGTTTTTATTGTTTCTATTACTAGCCTTTTTTTGTATGTACCTGACGCGATGTATCATGTTCACACATTTACTCAAACCTTTAGAAAAATTGAATTATCACTACATACATAATTTCATCAAAAGCGGGCTCGTATTATCAGACGAGTTTGAAAAAGAAAAAAGAGTTAATTCAACACTAATGATGGATTTGTTTTTTTTTTTCAAATAAGACTATATCAATAAGTTAAATCTTTTTCCTTAATAAATTAGTATAGTTTCCTTATTAAATTGGCAGTTTTTTTAATTTTTAACTCCTCAAAAACACTATTATATTTGACTCTGTTTTTGACAATTTCTTTCACAATTTTAATAAATTTTGGAAAATAAATAAATATTTGCATTATTTTATTACTAATATCAAGTGTTTGAACGTTTATACCGTTTTAAAATGACTGAAATTGTCAATTTTGTGAACTTCTTCGAAGAGACTTCAACGATGGGTTAAGCGCGAAACCTTTAGGACGATATTATTTTGGTGGAATACCCACCACTACAAGTTTAATTACTATAAAAGATTATAGTTTAAGCCTTTTTCCTTAATGAATTAGTGCAGTTACTTTAAACTTTTGGATCTTAATAACATAATTAAATTACACTGTTTTTGACAATTTCTTTTACAATTTCAATAAATTGTGGAAAATAAATAAGAATTTGCATTATTTTACTACTAATATTAAGTATTTAAACATTGATATCGTTATAAAATGACTGAATTTATCAATTTTGTGAACTTCTTCGAAGAGACATCAACGGTGAGTTAAGCGCGAAACCTTTGGGACGATATTATTTTAGTGGTATGCCCACCACTACAAGTCCAATTACTATAAAAGGTTATAGTTTAAGCCTTTTTCAATAATAAATTAGTGCAGTTACTTTAAATATTGGATCTTAAAAACACATTTCAATTACACTGCTTTTGCTAATTTCTTTTATAATTTCAATAAATTGTGGAAAATAAATAAGAATTAGCATTATTGCATTAATAATATCAAGTATTTGAATGTTGATATCGTTGTAAAATGACTGAATTTATCAATTTTCTGAACTTCTTCGAAGAGACTTCAACGGTGGGTTAAGCGAGAAACCTTGCGGACGATATTATTTTACTGGCATACCCGCCAGTATACGTTCGATTACTATAAGAAATAATAGTTTAAGCCTTTTTTTCTTAATAAACTAGTGCAGTTTCTTTAAATATTAGCTCCTAAAAACACAACTGAATTACACTCTTTTTGAAAATTTCACAATTTCAATAAATTGTGGAAAATAAATAAGAACTTGCATTATTTTATTTCTAATATAACATCAAGTAGTCAAAATGAGTGAATTATCAATTTTGTGAATTTCTTCGAAAAGTCTTCAACCTACACAATGTATATCTATAGATATTAAAACTAAAGCAGCTCTGATAACACTGTAACTTCTATTTTTATTCAGCATGCACACAAACTCCACACTCCTCAATTTTATTTATGATATCAGAAATTAATTAATTGGCGTTTTGACATTGTTAACAGCATAAAACAAAAATTATCGAGTAAAAAAAGCCTGTTTAAAAAAGTTCCTTTCGTCGCTGTTCAATTTACTCTAGTCATTACAAAATAGAAAAAGGGGCAACACAAGTTATTGTTAATATCCTTTGCGCCTAGCGGCGTTATAATCACTGCAATACCTTCTACAATACGGATGATGTTATTTGTACGACGCTTCATGTTCCACTGAAATAACTAGAAGCAAACTTCACATAGTGGTAGTTTCAAGTTCGTAATGGAATAATTACTTTTGTTTTATAAAAATTTTGTGGCAACTTTTTATAACTTAATAGTAGGTATACGCATGTACCTAATCAAAAACCAACTTACAATTACGTAAATTGAATTTTATACCATTGTCACAGTAATTTAAAACATCGGAAATATGCAACACAATAGCAACTTTTAATGAGACCTTCACCTTCTCATGTCGTAATAGACAAATTCAATGTGACCTTAACCTTGTGATGTCATTTTTTCAAAGGAATACATATTCTTGAACTCAAAAATGAAAAGAACGAGAAATTCCACAATCGGGAATCCTTTCGTGTTGATTTGCCCTTAGTTTTCCTAACTATTGCTAATGCTGTTTTTTGCAACAATTTTTGCCTACTTCACCCTTGTCCGCCACCCCTTTTATTCCAAGTTAAATTTCAGTTGTAAGTATCTACATTTCTATAAATTTTTAAGCAGTATTAAACAAAAATGGGCACCTTCACCCTCTACATGTCTATATCTAATCTCATGTTCCTCGCTATATAGACGCATAACTATAGGAATATATGTATTGTAAAATTTGTCCATATTCCGGATGATGTTGAAATCTGATGGGCAGATCTCCGACAAAATCGTTAAGTGGAAATTTCATGTAGAGTTAACATTTATCGTTAGGTGTAATAATAGCTGTAAACCAACATCCGATTCTCTTCGGCTTATTACGTAGTCATCAGACGTGCGTTTGTTATTAATTTTTAATGTTTAGTTAAGGCACGTGCCCATTTCGTTGCGACTGAGGCAAACATGCGCGAAAGTAATTGCGCACACCCCGAAGGCATCACGCTTCAGATCGGGCGTCAAGATAAAAGGCCAACTGCGATGCCCCGTTTGTTCTTGTACCTGCATGCGTATAAATGCTTTCCGTATTCTCTTTCTAGAGAGCCGAAATCGTTTTGTAAAATGCAAAAGTCCTGGGGCACCGACGCGTAAATCGCGGCCAGAGTCGGACTCTCGTTTTGTTGTTGTTGTCGTAGCGCTATTACTATGTCACGTTAAAATGAAATAATATTGTACAATCACCGGCATCGATAATGGAAAAGGACGATAGTAATGAATAGAAATGAGCTTTTTAAGATATTGGCACTGGTACCGTAGACTTTATTAATTTGCAGGCCCGGCTTTATTCTCGTTCATAAATATACCGATTTTTTAAGAGAGGTTTATTTACAGGTAACAAAAAAGATAAATAATAGAAAATTATTTGACATGGTTACGGCGTAGGTCTGGAAAAACTGCCCATGAAAACTGTAAACCAATATGAACATTTGATTGCGGTAATATTTGTTAGCGGGTTCTTTTATTAACCCTCGTATTGAATTATATTACAATTCAAGTAAAAAGCAAACGCTTGATTATACGTTTTTAATAATAATATTTAATATAATAATTTAATAATGTGTATGGGGTGACGTGTACCGTATGGGTCTCGTGGTAAAAGAATAGTTTGCTGATACAGAGATTTTCCTGTACATTTCCTACGAGGGTCCCCTTAGAGATACTGAAGTGAGCTTTTCATAAGGATCCTAACAGAAAAATCAAACACAGGCAATCCCAGCATCTGCCTCATAGGAGTTCCATCAGACAAACACCAAATAAATAAACAATCCTTTAACAAATTTCTGGTTGTCTACTAGTGGACCATATTTGAAGGTTGTCAGCTAAATTTTGTTTAATGTATCAATCATTTTTCCGTCGTGTGTCTTATGAGAACCCCATGAAGCAGTGTGATTAAACCCGCTAGGACACAAGCATCCCCCTCCCAAAATTCTGGTCAGGAAGACTAAAGTTTAATCTCGTAGGTAATAAATTATACAAGTTTACAATAATATTTAAATGTATATTAATGTTTTTGTTCATTTAAAAATTCTGAATTCTCATTTTTTTTTATTTCTGTACCACACGCACGTACAAATAAACGAAAGAGGGGTATCGGGGTATCGGTTTCCAAATTAGCATTTAGTTAGCATTATCTCGACATCCGTGCAAAAGCCCTTTGCGGAACCGGTGTAAGGCATGGCGTAATGCATTTTTAATGGTCTTTGGAAATGTTCTTGAAAATTTCGGGTGCCGGTTTCTCCTTTCTTTGTGTTTAAGCTAATCGTAAGATTTTTCAATTACCCGTCTGAATATAAAAAGTGTACCGCCATATGTAATCATTAAAATCGTCTTTCTTTTAGGGCATTAAATGTTCGGAATACTGGCCCAGAGCAAGGAGCAATCGACAACCTTAACCAGGAAACTGTAATTTCTTGCCAGAAAAAGAACATCAGCAGGTACGTATACTACTTACTTTTCTTTATTCCTTTTTAATAACTGCAAGGAGAGAATTTTAAAAACGTAAAATTATGCTACAAAACTGCTTTATTATGAAGTAGAGCATTAAAAATTTACTGTTAAGATTACCTTTTGTTGTTTGCAATATCTTTTCTACCAGCTTTACCTTGTATCTACATGCAGAACACAAAACTTTTATTGTGGGTAGGTACGTCCTGCCTTACTTTTTTATTATTTTTTAGTTCAATGTAAAAACCATAACTCCATGTAAATTATACAACCAGCTAAAGTAAATGTGGTGACAACATTTACAGCAAATAATAGGTTCGTTTTTTTTTTTTTGAAGTGAAACTTCTATATATGGACGGACGGTATTACGATTTTTTTCTGTCACGAAAAAAGAGGGTAGACGGTATATCGCATAGTGAGAGGCGGCAGCGGTGGAGGGAGAGAAACGCTGGGGGCGGCGTGGAAAGAGGAACGGCTATATTAGATCGATATAATGCGCAGCAACGCGGAGAGCGGAGAATCCACTAGAGTCCCGGCGACGTGTGCTGTGCTCAGCTGTTATTTTATTACCTCTGCTCTCCACGTGACTGGGTATCTTTGCCTCTATTTGCGGTCTGCGTAAAAACCTAATCATAATTTGCAGTAAACTTGTAAAAACGAAATATGGGACACACAGTAGAAGTAAAATTTCAACGGACAAGTGGAAAAACGAATGGCAACGGACAAGTGGAAAAATTTTTACTTCAAGTTTTAAGGGCAGATTGTTAATGTACTTCTCCAATTTGAATACATGTCAAGTAAAAATTTTGTCAGGTTTTCAAATTGGACAAGTACATTAACAATCTGCCCGTAAAATTTGAAGTAAAAATTTTGTTGCGATTCGTTTTTCCACTTGTCCGTTAAAGTTTCACTTCTACTGTGTGTCCGAGCACACATTTTTATACTCGAAGAAGTCATGATTATATTAGTCGGAAGGATTGGCACAATATTTCTGTACAAACTTTACGTAACCAAATTTTGTTCTTTAGACTTATAATTATAAAGATAAATGAAAAACAACTAATATGTTAATAGACCAAGGATACAACTATATCAATCAGTACATTAGACAATTTGATCCAGTTATAATGGTTAGTTTATATTATGAAGATGTTTTTATTTCCTGGCACTTAGCAGAACACATGACCAGAATTCACGAGCCCGCCACCAGCGTTTGCTACTACCACAAAAATATAAGGAAAGAGAGCATCAGAGTAATGCTTATGGTAAGAATGAATCTAGAAAAGGTACCAAATTTCTGTCAATCAGTAGTTACACGAGTATGCGCACTGCCGTTTCGAACAGAAATAACCTGTCTGCGCATGCTACTCTTGTTATCTACGTATCTTGTGTCTTACTTACTCCTGGTATCACAGTAGAGTATAGGGTTAAATGGGGATGGCGCTCTCTATTTTGATATCTCTATAGTTACTACAGTTATAGTGAACTGGACTATAAATTTTAAAAATTTTATTTCATATAACAAAAAAGATTAGGTCTTTAAATTTCATAATGATTGATCTTCAAGCTACTGTTGTTGTTTCAGTATTTTAACTTACGAATGGTTTAAAACACGTGATTCGAAATACGTATAATGTAGAAATGATGATTCTAGGAATAAATAACCACTGACTCTTCTCGAAGCACGGCTAATCGTAGCAAAGTTGCCCACGTATTGTTTATTATCTTTTTGCGACGCTTTCAGTAAGTAATCGAAGATAATCAGCGGCAATTTTGATGTCTACCCGTAATAACGACTTGGACTGCGTGCTAAAGTAGCAAACCAGTTCTTACACATTTTTAAAGATTATATTGCGTGCTAGTATACACTATATAGGGATACAGTAGTAGTTATTTTAAAATTAGCCAAATTGTTCCAACCTATTGCCATACAATGTGCTAATGTACCCCAAAACCAAAATAATACCTTCAGAAAGTCTTAATTTGAAAACAAATTATAACATTCGAAAATTGGTTAACAGACACCGGTTGGTAACATGATTATTAAAAACAAAAGTTTTACAGCCAAGGTTGTGCATCAGAAAATCAGAATAAAACACTGAAAAGTGGAAGATAATAGTTAGTAATTATAGGAAAAATTGATTTAATTCTCAATTTACATGATGGCATTTTGCACACACTTCTTTTGTGTGCTCAGCATACACAACTGTCAACAGAAACTGTTCACTGAATTACAAACATTAAGAAGGTTTTAGAAAATACTACAAATGACGCAGTAAACGCCATCTGTAACACGATGCTACATTTTAGGATTACGTATACTCCAACAAGGTCCACTTGTGTGGATATCTACTTGCTGAAAACGAATCCCGGCGTAGCCAACCTCAACGTGATAGGCACGTTAGCTTAATCGAATAAAATAATTCGAAGTNCTATTCTATCTCAGGTGCAACAGACTAATTTTCTATTATTTGTATAAATAAAAATGAATCGCTAAATGTATTGCTAAGCGCAAAACTCGAAAACGGCTGGAACAATTCCAATGATTTCCTTTTTTTTTTTTAATAGTCCGAGGAAGGTTCTTAGGAAGAGAAAAATTGCTCAGAAAAACTTAAAACCCTCACTTTTCTTTTCCCATACAAACCACAGAGTAAATTAAAACATCTCTCCCCAGCTGTCAAACACATGATGTAAGTATATAAAAAAAAGACGCTTTAGGATTATCTTTGGTATGTCATCAAGTTGATTAGGCTGTATGGATATTAATCTATGCTATCCCAAAATCAACTTCGAACAAAGAAAAAGGTAAACTTATATTTTAATGACATTTAAGGCAAGAAAAGTGCATTTTAATTATCGCATATGGCATTTACGATTCAACAAAATAATAAAAAAATAATAAAGTTTATGGTATCGTAGGAAGTCGCAACATTTATTATAAGATGGAACATGACAAAATAAACCGTTAGCCAGGAGGCAAAACAAAAATAGATGTGCGTAGGCTTACGCGGTTAGATACACGTTTACTACAATATTTCCAACTTTTGCAATACCATTTGTTACTGTTATTTCGTAATATTCAAACTATTGTAATGGCAAAGGCTTTCACGACCGGAATCGAAGTGACAAAGAGGTAGATACGTGCTATTGGACCGTGATCTAAAGGAACTTGTAGATCTAAATTAGTGTTACAACAGACCTCTGCAGTTGCGGAAGTTCCGCATACATTTTCACATCCACTTCTTTATCTGGTTCCGTATTTTTATAACAGAAGCTTATCGGAACTTCAACTTCGGAAAATCAATATATCGGAACAATAAAACAAGTATAATAATAATATTGTCCCTGTGTGAATAATTTTATTATAGTTCAGGATCTAAACCTAAATTTATTTCCTAGTATTTTGTGTGTTTATATTTTCCAAATTTTATTCTCTTATTAGTTTCCTACTTTAATCTAAAAACGTCGAAGAGTTTCGGCTCCCCTTAGCCAGTTCTTCATTTCGAGAATACTGATGCAGCTATAGCGTTTATTTATTTTGTAATGAGTTTGCTCAGTGGTGTAAATTTTAAGTTAAAAGTGTAATTTTGAAGCCAAAATGATGTTCCATTTGGGATTATTTTCTTGATATTAATGATACAAGTGCTAAATGCAAAATTTGCAACAAAATATTCGCAAAAAGAGCACACGATAACTACATTAAAGAATCACCGAAAATTATTACACTTCCGCTTGCGCATCCGCAAAATTTACTATTTACTTCTGTTTCCATTATGATACTCCGTTGCATCGCTAATCCAAACGATGCGACTAAAATTCGGCACTCGTCTTCAGTGGGCTTGATTCCTAGGTCGAAGACTGTACTTCGGAGTCTCAGTAGCAATTGAATTGAACAAGATATAACTTTGACTACAACCTATCAACCCGGATCTACCTCTTTGCTCATTCAAATAGTTGTTTCCACGTATTAATTTTTATCAATCGCCGCAATCAAATGTTGTTATAGGTGAACCAACAAATCAATTTCATATTACAAAATGACTGAAACAAATTAATTTTATAAAATTACAAAATGTTTCAGATAAAGTTCATAATCAATTGTTCGTCCTCCTTTAAAGATAAAGCGACCAGATTTTCTGAAAGATTACTAACGATTTAACAATACAGTCGTCTTTTATTCTTCTATTTTTATTTTGTGTTTTATTGTGAAAGGTTAGCGACCAAATTGACCGTGAATTGGCTTATTGGTATGTAGGTGTCAAGTTGGCGACGGGCAAGGGACTAGGTGATTACGTGTTTCCTGTCTGCCGTGAGGAGAAATCACAATGAATAATGAAGGTGCAAAATTACAAAGAATCTGCGATCTTCGCTATAGTGTCTGTAAACACAACGAAAGCGTTCGTATAGTACAGTCGAGACATCTTTTCGATTAAAATACAGTCGTTCAAAGAACGGATGTGCCCATTCAGAACGGAATCTTGACGGGTTAAGTTATTATGTCGCATCTCTCTATCCACCACTAGTTTAATTTATGTCTCTCCACTACGATTTTATTATCCATATTTAATGTAACAATAGCAATTACATAAATGTTCTTTACGACGATTAATAGTTTAAAATTTAAAAGTAGAAAATGACAACGATTAAAATGAAATTACAAATCGTATCCATACATCGACAATTTCCGACTGTGCCTGATGATGGTAAATAAAATAATATACCAAAATAAACGAAGGGTATACATATACATCATGCCTATATTGTATTTAAGAGTTAGAAATTAAATCACCACCTATTTATTTTTCAACCCCAAAATCAGAACAGATTTCGTTAAGATTCTGTGGGCTCTCCTGTAGGAATTCACTAAAATTGACAGTAGTTCTCTTAAAAAGTAGCGGTTTTTAACTGCAATAAAAAATATTTAAAATTTTACGACAATATTTATCGAAGAGGAGCAGAAATCCTCTTGACAAATTATGAGTGGCTTCGT